TGTGTGCTTGTTTTTATAGGTGCCAGCTAACCAAGTTTAGAGGAAGAGAAGAGAAAGAGAAGAGTGAAGATGGTCAAGGGATCAGCAACTCCGAGCGACGGAAGCCCAGCGACGGCTGGAGGGTCGCCTCTCGCGGGGTCGGACCCGGCGGATCAACGACTCATCGTCATGACGATGGAGGTGGGACAAATCGCCCAGCGACGAGGATGGCCAAGACCAGGAGAGCTCGAACGGATATGCAAGTGAAGGAGAGTATGAAGAGAAGGCCGAGACCGCTGAGCCCGGAGAAACATAGACTACCGCTGAGCTACTTGGCGAGGTGGAAGCGTTGACGCTGCAGGTGGGACGCATGGGAGCCCCACGTCCTGTCGAGCGCAACTTATCCGCCGAGCTCGACGAAGGTGCGGACGATGAAGAAGATTAAGAAGAACATAGCGTTGCTCAAGGGGACCGTCCGCCCCTTATTCCGAAAGCGACGAGGAACGCCGATACGCCGAGCGCCAATCAAGTGTTGGCTCGACTCGGCGAGGAGATGAAAACGAGATCGGAATGGATGATGATGTTCGCGCCTGTAGCGATGGCGCAGGCGAAGTGGCCGATGTTAGGTCCCGAGTTAACTCAGCCGGTGCGTGCAGCCAACATCAACCAGTTGGTGGAAGAAACTGTGTTGCTGTTGAAGGCGATGGGCTATCGGTGCAACAGCCGACCGAACAACCTCATCCTGTCCGACTGGAGTCTGACCCGTGGCGGAGCCGAACTCTGGCAATGGAAGAAGAAGCTGCGAGTGGCGTTTGGATTGGAGAAAGCCCCTGGTGGAACGAAGAAGGTATACAGCCGAGTAGCCGAGTTCAAACCACTCGGCGAGGACCCGAGCAAGATTCCTTTGCCGAAGACCCCGGAGACGAAGAGACGTGAAGTGTTCCGCGCTACGCAAGGAACTCCGCTACCTTTTATTTCCAAAAATTTCCCCAGGCTGAAATTCCCCTGGAGACTCAAAACGCAATCTCCGCGACGCCGCAATCCTGGGCCCACGCAAAAGTTTAGTTTGCTTAACGCGAAATGTTAAGAAGCTCGACCCAAGTAGTTGAAGCTTAAGAAGAGAGAGAGACCACAACCTTCAACGTGAGAGGTAACCGTGAAAACCGTGAAGGACTACTCCGAACTTGAGCTTTGACGCGACTGAAGAGGACTCGCCGCAGTACCTCGAAGTCCGAATCCACGCCTCGCTCGACAAAATCGCCGAGTTCGAAGGAAAGCGCTACCGCTCTGACGCGTCGCTCCAGTGGCTCAAGCGTTTCATCTACGAGATGAAGAGCACCAGGATGCCCCAAAGTGCATGGTGCGAGCCTTTCTCGCTATGCTTAGGACGCCCGGCGAAGAGTTGGTACAGGCAGCTGCCGAAGAAGACTCAGCGACGTTGGAAACTACTCAGCGAGGCGTTCCTGGATTATTATTGCTCACAGTTCGACCAATCCGCCCGCACTCGTTACTATTCGGCGAGACGTAAAGTCAACGAACCGATCTGCGACTTCCTGATCCGACTCAACGGGTATGCTCGGACGGCCAAGATCCAGTATGAGAAGGGTGGCACCGACGCAGCTGACCATGTCGAACACTTCTTGCTGCATTGTGGTGATGACGATGTGATGGATTTGATGTACCCCTTGCAGTTGGAAGACATCAGTAAGGTGGAACAGATAATCAATCGTCGGATCCTCGGCGAGAAGCGCAAGAAGCAACGCGACCGACTCGTGATCGCACGAGGTCGAGATGACAAGCGGAAGGTTCAGAGCCGCCGAGATGAGAAGCGAAGTCGCAAGGAAGAAAACCGCGACCGCCGAGTCACTGTCGTTGACGCTGACTCCGACGGAGAGGAACGCATCGATCAGAACCCGCCGAGTCCGTACAGCTCCGAAGACGAATGGGATGATGAGGACCAGCCCGGAGGACACGACTCAGCGGAAGACGACGACTACATTGACGCCGGCGTTTCCAATGATAAAGGAAATACACCGGACCGCCGAGAGAACTCGGCGGGAGACCAGAATGGCTCGAACCGAAGCTGGGGAAACTCAGCGAACCGACCTCCGCGACCGTACAACCAACGAGAACAGTCGAACCGTGGAGATGGATCACGCGACAACACCCAACGAGGACCTTGTGCAGCTTGTGGAAGAATGGGGCACTCGGCTCACTACTGTCGACGACGCTGCAAATTCTGCAGACAAGTCCATGAAGGCGGCCGGTGCGAGCTGTTTCGTCAATATGAGAAGCTGGCTGCGTTCGTGAAGAACTCTGTCGACAAGTCGCAAGTGCCAGAAGACCTGCAAAACCTTTACGCGCCGAGTGATTTAAACTCGGCGGCCCGCCAACACTGACTGGGTTGGAATATGCCGGGCTGCCACAGTCAGCTGAACCTGCAGTTGAGGCGAACTTCTTGTTTGCCTTCGTAGGCGAAGCAGGACGGCCCGAGGGAAGAAGCGGGGATGGCAATTGGATGTGTGAAATCGACGGAATTGAACGTGAGCTCGGTGAGTTAGATGATAACAACCGAGCGATTGCAAGTGTAACTCGGCAGTCAGACCAAGCTGTGCATCGTACCAGGATAATGAAGCTGCTTCCGGGAGAACGGCTGGGATGGTGGTCAGCACAGACGTTTGATCGTCGAGTTAGAATGAGAGCCCTCGTATTGGGTGCAGTGAACGACCGAAGGACCAAGATATTATTGGATACCGGAGCAAATGTCTCGGCGATAAGTGAGTACTTCGCGAGGAAACTGCGTCTCAAGAGAGTGGCCAGCAGAGATAAGCGAATTGGCATACAAGGAATAAGTAAAGACAGGATGGTGACAACGTCAAGAGCAGTGGTGAAGGTGACACTCGGCTGGGAAGTGGCATACGAGTTTGAAGTATGGATAATGCCTCATCATGCCGGGGTCGATTTGATTCTCGGCACCGACTTCATGATCCCAGCTGGAATCCGTCTGGATCTGTACAACTCGGCGGTAAAGCTACCCGATGAGATGGTGATCCCACTCATCCGATCAAGTAATGCACCGACCAAGACCGAGTTCGGACCAAATGTCCCATGTGGGCCACCAGACGGGTTGACGATCGAAAGTCGAATGACCGCTGAGTTCAAATTGCCCAGGCGACAACCCAGTGAGTCGACGCATGACTTGTGGGTGCGACAGACGAAGGGTTGGATTCCGACGGTTGTTTTTAATCGCCGAGGAAGACCAACCCATGTCCTGATTACGAACGTACGACAGACGTCAGTCTGGTGCCCACCTCACTTTTATGTGATAAAATGGCAGCCACATGGAGTACTGGCCAATGAGGGATATGTCCGCGTGAACTCGGCGAAGTACCGTGACTGGCAGATATTGGCCTTTGAGTCGGCGATGGATAAAGATTTGCTGCAGAAAGAACAATGACTGTACGACGACTGGTTGTCACACCAGCCGCCAGCTGTGGAAAGACGAAAATACCCAACTCCGACGCCGGTGGAAAGACGA